TTAGGCCACGTTTTTACTGTTTCTAAGTTATTTGTGCCTAAAATCACTCTCCTGAAGAAGGACAAGCGATGTTTATGCTGATGTTTAGCTAGATAAATAACAAATGTTAAAACGAATTGATTAAAGCGTATCTGTCATTCTGTGACTGATTGAAGACTTAAATTTTTTATTAGTGCTGCTGTCATAACGTTTAGTTATCGGGTCTGAAACGTCAAGACACTTAAATCTTGACATGAATTTTTCGCTAAATGAGGTACCCTTGTAGTGTTCCAGTGACGTTTTAAGAATGAAACATCGTAGCCTAACCAGGTAGCTGTAGAAGTCGTTTTACAGTTCATTGGCTGCTAATAACTTTGCAAAGGAGCTTGTAGGTCTATTTTACTACATTTGGACATCAGTTGTGAGGTTTGAAGTTAACTATTTTCGTCATTTTATTTCGTAAAATCGAACAAACATGAATGAGGAGAACATGAGCTTCTATTGCATTCCCGCTTTGTGAGCACTCAGATTCTGTATACACCCATCAGCTCTAAATGATTTGGTTATTCAGACGTTTGAATCTTTTGCTGGTTGATTATTTCAACCTTGCGCATATTATGACAAATACACTTGTCAAAAATATCTACAGCTGATAGTTTTCGGCCCCTGTTTTATCGAAATGCCATCCATCCTCCACAAGCACTTCTACACTTCAGTTTTCCAGGAATTGACTTAAGAAACAAAAATTATAGTTGAGCTGTGAGTGACTTGGAATCACACCGGCTGTCGATGGTTTATTAAAAAAAAATTATATAAACTCACGATTCTACTGACAGCTCTTGATTCGGAAAGGTTTATAGCGTCCCCTTTATTAAAATGTCTGCGAACGTGTACATCATTAAAATACTTCAATTCCTTCACGTTAATCAAGCTGGTCAGATCTTTTTCCCTTTTCTAGTTACAATATACAAGATCACATATTCACTAGGGTGATTCTGAACAGGAAGTGCTAAAAACGTTATTTTACAACTGGACTGGCAATAATTACTACATTTAAAAAAAATAAAATTCATCGCTTTCTAGTTTCTGTCTTCTTTACCAGAGAAGACTGGTAATGAGGCCGACTTAACCCCCCATACGTGAGGCGTTTTCGCGCTGGCGTGTTTATGGAGCACTTTTATGAGCAGTGAGAAGCATGGGAATGCGTGGATTGCTGAAAAGTTACTGAAGGGAGACACATTGAAATGAGCCATATTCAGGTTAAAGTGATCATGCAGGCTTCTCCTGATAAATCTCCACTGGCTAGTCAATACCGACTTTTCCGTAGCTGAATGTTGAAATGATGAGTGGTAATAAAACGACTTGATTTATTATCAACTGCAATATTACGCAACTAGGGATGAATATTGTGGTGAGGTTAACGCAATATAATTAGCACTCGTGGACAAAGCTGTGCCATTAACAACAACCGTTTAACAGCTAAATCTTACCGGTTACTATGTAACTATATTTCGAGCGACAGCGTGAAAGCAGTGAACAAGCACGCTAGTAACCAAACTAAGTTTCTTTTTCAAATTCCACTGTCTAGTTTGCCCATTTTTGAAACTTAATCTGCCAGTCTTCGGAGAATGGGTCACTCACCTTTGCGCTACGTTGTTGGAGTTACGCGGGACGTAAACCTTTGCCTTTTTAACTAGAAATAAAGCTTTTCGGGGTTTTGCTTAGGTTTAGCAGGTGATCTTTACAGAAACTGACAGTAAGTTTGCTCTGTTTCCTTGCAAAACCACAGCTGGTCCCCGATCAGTCGACCGCGGATAACCGTCAACATTTCCCAAAGTAGACCACGTTAGAAGAAAGTCGCCTTCTAGGTGTGCAGATGTTTGCAATGCAATTTAAATTCTGTGAAGATATTTGTCAGGGCCCTTCTAGACAAACACAGTGGTAGCAATAAACGATAATAAGACTTTATTAAAGCCACTGTTCAGAACAGAAAATGTCTAATCTTCGTGGGTTTTGGGCCTCTGGCAATGGGTTTGGGTAAGAGTTATATGTTAGTATAAATTCCCAAGCCCAAACATTTGATCAACACTTTGGCTAATAGTTCTAATTGCTCTACGGGCATATTTAATTTAATTGAGTGTCCTAATCTAAAAAATTCCGAAAGAATTGTATTTTCATGAGTCGAATGACTGTATTTTAGTTCATGTTGTTTGACAAGGTTCACTTTTTATTATTTTGTGTTCATTCTAAGTTTATTAATTGGAAAAAGAGGCAAAAAGATGGTCAAAACACGCTTGTCAACGAAGTGTGTCTTGCACACTTAATTAAGGCACAATGGAAGCAATATAAGTTTGGGACATGGAAAGATGCATGAGTCTCAGGGGATATGCAAAATAGTGCCACAAATGTAAATGCACGATATTCTAACGCCCGAGAAAGCATTTTACTTAAGCGGGAAAATCTGCAGGTCGTGGCGACATTAATAAGGGAAAATGTATGTGTCAATTGGAACTGTGGAGAAATATGTGAAGCTGTTTCGCAGAAATCATTGTAGTTTCGGCGACTTACTGACTAGTGCTGCTAAAACAAACAAAAACGATCACATTTAATAAGGCAGGAGTAGTAAACACCATTTTTGCATCCCTCTCCTGCACAGTATACATGATTTTTAGGCTGGCTTACACTGTCAGATACCAATATCAAACTCGTGTATACGTACGTTAAAACAAAACGCAGACGGTGTTATGTAAATAGCTAAAAGCAGAAATGGCCTTTTATAATTACTCGAATAAATAAACTGAATCAAACATATTAGGCAATGTAAATTTGGACCTTGGAAAAGAAAGCTAAAGTTATTCCTGTTTTTGGTCTGAAAATGAATAAATTTGTTTCGCTCCGTCGCTTGAAAATAGAATTTGAATTGTTGATCGCTCGCAGTACCATGATATGGCCTCCTTGTTAAGATATCGAAGAAGCATTCAATGGAACAAAAGGTGATTCCCATTCAGTACAAACACACGAAGGAGAATGGTAAAATGTTTGTCTTTGAAGTTTGTGCAAAACATTAACGTCAAGACGTTTAAGTCCACTTCACATACAAATGGCCTCAAGCAACTAATTTTAGATTGTTGCGTAAGAAAAATGTCAAATTTCTGGCTTCTGAATAATGCGCTGTGCGGCATGGCTACTTTGTCCAGGGCTCATATATCAACGCAACACAGGATACGCTCCATTAAGTCGAAAACAAAGAATCTAAGGCATGCCTAATACCTGTCGAAGGAAGTTTTGTCAAATTTTAAAATTAACTAATCATACAAGATGAATCAACAGATGGCAACCCGTATGATCCTAGAACGTGACATATAGGGAAACAAGCATGCATCATTTGCAGGCAGCAAGCATACATTACTTGAACTGAGTGTGTCGTGCTTTTAGCCAGATTGAAACATGCAAATTCACATGAATAATTCACCATATTCTCCCCACTTCGCGTGGTCTGAATCCTGGCACAGTGTGCATTTGGTCAAAACTACTTATTAATAATTCGTAGTGCATCGTGCACGAAAAAGGCCATGAAGCAGCACGATGCAGACTGCACGGTCGCACTTTCAGACCTCCCAGAGTCCAAATAAGGCAGTGCGGAGGTGGATTTAAAATCGCGCTCATCATGCATAAAATGTAGCAACATGTAGAAACTCTACTATTTATTCCCCTATTAGCTACTCAGTCTTTAGTTTTCCACTTTTGCCTCTCACTGCGTTGTTGAGTTTTTAAAGATTTCTAAATCGACGTGACCCACAAGAATATCAAAAATTATTAAAAATCTCGTCGTCGGACCAATTAGTGTTTTAATTCAGTCTTTTCGTATTCATTCCTATCTAGGCATGTCCGTTGTGATTAGCACCCTGATGGCACTTCGCAGGCATAGAATTCGTGGGCAAGATGTTGTTTAGCAAAACAGAAAACCGAGAGATCGATAATTTCTCAGACAAATAAAAAAGTTTGACTGTATGCTTTTAAAGAATTTGATATCTTTGGTCCAACACCTGCGTAGCACACGCTCCTTGGCCTTAATTATACGCCTCACAAGAAGATACGTGCCAACGTCATCAGTTATGTTTGGTTTTTTTAGCAATCATGCGGCTCTCAGAACATGCTCTGAAAGTGAGGTCACTTTAACATTCTTCCGTTCTCACCATCAAGTAGATTAAAGCGATTTGCTAAGTCTGTGCCTATTTAAGACTGGCTCCACAATGGCATAATTGTGACTTACAGGTCGTATTCACACTTTAGAGTAATGTGAGAATATTGCTCATGAGTGGGAAGACTCAAAAGTTGAGTTGTGGTGTTTTGTCTTAACGAAAATTACTAAAGTTGGTACACAAACTATTAGCCATGTGGATTCGCTAATTGGGTTTTCGTATGTGCGCAAGTTATTGTACTCGAAAATAGGTAGTAGTTAATGTATGTCAATATTTTAGGAAATAAATAAAGGGAATGAAATTAAACATTTGAATGAAATTGCTTTAGGTTCATTTTACCGGCATTTAAGCAAGCTTTCTCTGTGTGATATAACTTACATTAATTCCCTCTTTGGATTTGGTCGAAACGGCCACCTGTATTCTTAAAAAAAGGAAGGTTGAATGCTGATTACCACATTATTTAAAAGTGTACGATGGTCAAGTAGCAAGAGTAGGCAATCCATTTTACGTGTACATTTAGTTTGTACGTTATTTTGTTAAATCGCAGAAACTGTTACAAAGTAACTAAGAAACTAACTTTTATAGTTCTTTAAATGTGTTTGCTGACATGTAAGTGACCATCTATATCGATAAAAAGTACATAAAGCTTTGTTTGAAATCGGAAGCTCCGTTAGCTACTAGTGCTACCTTACGGTAAATATCCCTTACTTTTATTAGTTTAAGGTAAGTACATGCTCTAAAGATGGTCAGACTGGTACTAACAAATGATGTCTTTTTAACACAAGTAGAAAAATCCATGTTTTTAAACATAAAATGGCCTTATGTGAAGCATGAATAGCTATGTAGGGCGTTAAAGGGCTTACTGGCTTGGCTCGTGTAGTCAGCAACGCACTGCTGGTTTCCGTTCACAGCTCGAAACCCCCTGAAGCACCTGCATTCGTACAGTCCACGCCCGAGGTCCAAGCAGAAGCCTCCCATGCATTTTCTCCGAACTGCTGGATCCTCACAGGGATTCGGATAAGATTTTCTTGCAGAGGACTGCCACCTGGCTTCTTTTGGTTGCGCATGTTCTTGAGAAATTAAAGGATTGAGTGCACTACATGCGCCAGTACAAGCATAAATCCGGATATTCGGATCGCGATACTTACAGTTCTTTTGGAAGGTCATGGTGGCTATACCCAACCTCTGTTTAAGCTTATGGAGCCGGTTCTTATTTAAACTATTCACACCTTTATTGCTAAATGTTCAGCATTATCAGCGTGACTCATCATTGTCTCTGTGGAATTCAGTCTAAATCTCAGCTAAAATGGAATTCAAGCCGTCAATCTGCCTTTGGTAATGAACTCCAGTAGGCTAAATGGCGTGGTTGTTCATACTGTTATAACAAAGCAGGCTGTAGCGAGCAATTAGGAATAACAAATGAACCAACTTTCGGATGCAATTATCAATTCTGTTTGATGAAAAATAACTGGAGGATTGGATGGCCATATCCGAAGCAGCAAGATTTCAGTCCAGATTTAGTTGATATGTTGTAATTTTTTGCAAAAGGAAAAAAGTGACCTTTAGTTGGAATAAAACCTGGTAATGGGATTTAGATGCAGTTTGTGTGGTTAGACTTTCATGTTATTTTGTTAAACTCACACGACAACGCCTTGCAATGTCTCAGTTAGATTACTGTCATCCACTCATACCCAACCTGTCAGCATATTGATTAATATTGGCCCACAGTTGCGTAGATTCGTTCGCTTTGTCAGATTTTTTCGAAGAATATACCTTTACCCCTATTGCAGCACAATTTTGCCATCAAATATTGTATTAAAGTGTGTATAACAGGTGAGCAAGGGCAATAAATCGACAAGAAATTCCTGTGAAATAGAATTTAAGGAAGCCCTAACTTAAAGGGCTCAACAATCACGACAAGCAACACCTGAATTTGAAACTCTGGCACAAACCTTTGTACAAACCCCGATTTTCCTGCGGCCAGTCCGCCTGGTAGGAGCCGCGGTAGTTGTTGCCGCTGCTCCAGGCAGAGCGTTTTTCAGCTAAATCATAATGAATTGTAACTGTTACAAAATTGACATTTGGAAAAAACCACAAACGTCTGCAGGATAGTGCAAAGGTCGAATGCGTGCACGCATTTGCAAAATTTTATTTCATGGCACCGTCGAATTTTGTATTGGCGAAGTTTTTGATTACTAACTCAGTGTTTTAGGCTAAAATTCAAAGGAACAGCGAGCAATTGGTTCACTAAATGGGCTAAATTCATTTTAGCATCATAACAACTTGTGTATTTATCTTGGGGACAAAATGTTGTTAATACATCACATCGTGATATAGCGTGAATTCCGTCCAGTCAGCACTGAAAAATACCCAGCCATGCATTTTGAGAGAAATTTAAAACTGACTGAAAAGCAGACTCCACATTTGTCAATTTCATCAACCATAATGGATGTGGATAGTTATCTCGATAGTCAGTTGTTTGCAAAGCTTTTGTGCCATTGTTAACGACGCCGTTAAAAAATGCGACATCTAGATCTCAACATATTATTGTATTTTAACTAGAAATTTCACAATTCGGACTGATAATAATCAGGTACATGTTTCATAGCATTGTAAATATCCTAAAAAATAAATGTTATTAAAAGAATGAATTCCTTATTGTGGCATAATCAAATTTGGTTTCACCTGAATTTTTTAGGTAGCTACAGTCGTCGCAATGTCAATTTACTCCTATCCATTAATTACCAATATGTAGCCGCACATTCGTCTTGCTGACATCCCTCTATGCTTGCTTATTTAACGCATTATTTGTGATCGCCTAAGTTGCATAGCACCAGGACGAAACATCGTGACAAAAGTCTTACTTTTATATGGGCTCATTCTAATTCGGCAGCTTTTTCGATCGGCGGATTGCACGTAACCGTGGTTGCATCTACACTCGTAATCACCGTAGGGTCGAGCAATGCAAAATCCATTTTGACATGCTGACCGACCAAGCTGCTGGCACTTGTCTAATTTGAAAGAAAAAAACGTACCTAAGCTTCTAGTCTATTTTACGGTTTTAGCCAATCCATGGCTTCTGAATCTTAGAATATGACATGTAATGCTTTAAAAAATAGGCTTTTATAGTTTTCATATGAAGCTCAAAATTTAATCACATTAACATATAAAATAAATCAATTGACAAACTTAATGCATGATTCGGAAGTGATAATAACTCAGGTACTTAAATGGTAATTTCATTAAACCTACAAAGGGAAACTCAATTAGTTCTTATCCTTGTAAATTCTCGTGTTAAATTGCACGACTCAAGCCTTTAATTGTGTAACCAAGTGCAGTAAGTTTTAAGTTAGGTTCAGTTTAATTTTACTTTTCGTCAGACGCATGATGTTGCTTGTTGGCTGGAAGTTTTTTTCCAGCTTAAACTATATTAAAACCAAGGAACTATATTAGACGCACAGACCACGATAATTGTCTCAGAACAAAATCTATTTAAAACAAAATATATTCAGGCCTGTGACCATGAAACTCAATCGTGGTTACTTGCGGAAATCCCTTGAAAATTATGCTTAAATAAAGGCTTCGTGTCTCCATCTTCGGCATGCAGGTGACTTTCCCGTGAAGATACAAACCAAAAACTGGCTCAATTAAGTAGTGCTTCAATCATATATTTTGTAAATGAACTCATTTGAGCAATTAGTGAATAAAACTGTTGGAAATAATCAGAAAACACCAACCTAAACAGGCAGTTCCATCACTAGAAAGGGCATAGCCCATATCGCATTTACAGCGGAATCCCCTGCCAACAGGCACACACTGTCCATGGACGCATACATTGCTTCCATATAGAGAACATGCATTGAATTCCTCTGTCGAAATTAAAAGAAGCTCAAATAATTATTACCCTGTGAAATGCAAAACAGTGTTTCCTAGTTAACACACAAAATTTAAAGTTAATAGCCTAGTAGTAAAAGCATCCTTTTTTTCTAGAAGTAAAGACACTATATCATTACAGAAACTAGTGAAGTAAGATTAGGACAACAAGACTGTATAATTAGAAATAAAGCCAATTAATATAAAACTAGCACATACTACTCAACAGAATTCATGACCCTATAGGTTTAACATTAATTCAATCTATCATCCAAACAACATTAAAGTGACAAATCTCCCTTTACAACTGTTGCGTTATTATGGGAGTAAATACCTTCTCCTGGTCTTACGATTAAGTTAATTAGAGTTACTTAAATAATATAAAACTTACTTATGCATTGTTTCTTGAACATGCTCGGCCTATACCCTGGACGGCATGTGCATTCATAGGAGGTTGCTGTAGGATGGCACTCTCCGTTTTTGCACAGTTTCCCCTCAAAAATCTCACAATAATTCAGGGCGTTTTCCTCCTTCTCGCCTAGAATCAATTTTATTGGTTTGAAGAAAATGTGGCTGTGAGAAAGCAAATTGTAGAAACAATGTATCATTGAAGCGAATTTGTTTTAGCTCTATTTTGACAATTTACCGCTGGTTGATTTTACACTCTCTTATTTCATTCCCGAAATGCGAGTTTTGCGCTGAATTTGACCGTTAAAATCGGTCAGTGTGTTCCCACAAATATTCTACTTTCTTTACCAAATGTTTATACACCATTCTGTTGCGTCTTCTAATAAAATACTGAAAACCAAGCTGGAATAAAAATTCGCTGAAATGAATTCTATGGATGTTGTACATGCGAATCCGTACCAAGTTGTTCATCTTGCTAGCGAATACCCACTTTAAACTATTTACGCGTCAATAGAATCGGTAGTGAACGTAGTTGGCTCTACTTACAGCGCCGGTTTCCATCGGTTGGAAGGTAGCCAGGGAAACACTGGCACATGAAGGCACTGCCATGAAGCGGGACACACCGACCGCCAGGAGCGCAGGCATTCGGGTTTTTTTGGCATCCATCTAAAAGTCAAAACTAACTCATAAATTTTGTGCAACTCGCGTTTGCTGCACACTTTAGCCCACGCCGGCGTAAAATGACTATCGGAAGGTGGACTCCGTGCCCGGTTGCAAAGTACCCCCTCACAGGAATGCCGTGTGATGTGTAAATGTTGACCCATTAATCTGAAAGTCGTGAGATTTTTTATGCAAGAGTGTAGTACAATGCTTCAAGAATAAATTAAGCAAATGTAATAGATATACCCACAGTGACTATCAGGCCTCTCGCCTGACCTTCTACACAAATGCACAATTTTTTTGCATTATTGAGAAATGCTTAAGCGCTTTGAGAATTAGTAGTTTTCACGCTAACCCTCACGGCCTCTTCCTATTTATTTTGCTCTTTTTCCTTCTGAAATGCATTTTACTAATGTACCTCGGTTACCTGATTTCTGGTGCATGAGATTTGTCACATCCGTAAAGTTTACACACAGTAAGAATCAACATTGTCTTACAAACGCTAGGTTAGCTTGCTGAGCAAATATTTGGGCTAAGCACGGTATCATTTTTTCCAGCAAAAAAATTAAAATTCATTTCTCGATTTGCCTTGATCGGCTGCTTATAGAGCTGGCAGACCAATTTTCAAATTTATTAAACCTAAAAGAATCCAGTGAATTTTGTGTAAAAAATTATTGACAATTAAATATTTTGAATCATGTAGTACTCTAATTATACAATATATAATAACTTCTTTGTCCGTTACATTAAGAGATTATTGTTAAGCACTTTTACCCACTTTGTTTGTAGGCGTGATTTCAGAGTAACAGCGTGTCTGAGTCAAAAATCATGCATGGTTACTTTGCCCCATCTTTGGATTATTAAATATTTTGGTAAATCAAAATTAATTAAGTAGGCATTCATGGTACATTCTTTTGCAGCTCCAAATTGCTCCAAACATCACTGGCTTTTGTGCAATAAATAAGACTTTATAGTGGAAGAGTATGTTTTTGTGTTTACTGATTTGGGTGGAAGAAACTGTTGTGTAGTTTGCTACAGACAAAGCGACAAGTATGATGTGTCACGGATTGTTAAAAACTTTTGCGGAGCATGAAGATAGTTAAAAATGACCAAAATACGGAGAAAAGTCATAAAAAAAACATAATAAATTACCAGAAGATTCTAAAAATATAAATTCTTGCATTGATACCAAAGTAATTTTTAACGGTACGCATTTCGGTGTCTCCAATTAGGTAAAGGAATCACTGCCACTCAACTGATGACTAGGTTGAGTCGTAGACGACCACCCGCTGTAATCACACAACATGACACGCCACGCCAGGCGTGTGAAAAAGCGATTGCTGTCGTTCCACTATCACCACGCCCATGTTTCATTTACGAAGTTTGGTGACGAAGAATAGAGGTGTAGAATAACGAGTCGTGACTACTTTTAAAAAAAACATCGTCTGTCACGCGAAAGCAAATACCGCAATTTAAGGACTATAAAGGACATGCTGCTTACTTTTGACCGCGTTGCACTGTAATGTGCTGGCATTGTATAGGTAACCATATGGACATTCACATCTGAAAGATTTGAAGTGTTTAATAAGCACTTATTAACATTGATAAATCATTAATCAGAAAGACGGCTACCGGTCAACAGGGCACTCAGTGCCAATTTCGGCTGCATATAATCAGCTCAGAGGTAGGTCGAAGTCTAGTACATTTTACCACTGACATTTCATTTACTTGGAGTATCAGAGTTTGTGTTAAGGGATATGATGAACATTCTGCCGTGTTAATGACTGCTGATTACGCTTTAGTTTCCTGCAAATTTTGATAAAGCAGGTACACTTTAACATGGGGAGCGGAGGTGGAAGTTTTGTAGTATAAGTGAAGACCACTGATTAGTCTCCAAGTGTTTGTTAACAGGATGAAAAAAACGCTGTTTAGTCGGGTGATCTGCTGATGAAATGCTTCTTAAAGTTTAAAAACCTAGATTACAATGCTAATTTGTTAAATGCTTTACATATAAAATTTCACTACAAACTGAAAACTCACTCGAAAGAACCGTCAGTGTTTCGGCAAACCCCACCCATGCACACACCGGGTATTTCGCATTCGTTGATATCTAAAGTGTTTTCGTAATGTCTAAAAGTAGATTCGTTCAGAAACAAAGGCAGACGCACAGAATAGTGAAATGCAGCTTAGTACGCAAATTTTATGTCATCCCGAATAACTTTAAATGCGCAGGAACGAGTCTTAAACAAAAAAATTTGGATTACTGGGTGTTTTTGCCTCTCAGGGAAGTAATGTCATGGGACCTTTTGTACTTAGCAGAAACGTAATCGTTAATAAATTTTTAAAGGTTTAGTAATCATTGACGTAATATCTTGTGTCAGTTCACGAAGGACATATCTTGTAGTGGTCTACCCTAGGTCAAGCTTATTCATCAACTCGAAACCAACTTTGCGGAAATGGTCAGCATTCCTGCGTTGCTGCAGACACGATGACTTTTTACATAGCTGGCGCTCCGAAAAGGTGTAGATTTTTTTTCAATTTTCCAACCTCCACAGACGTTAGGTCTTTGTTTCACTAGTTCTTACTTGTCAAAAATCTTGTTTTCTCAAAACGAGAAAAAGTCCAGGACTGACTCACCTACACATTTGTGGTTCAAGGAAATGAAGCCCTTGCCACAGAAGGCATTCCGACTGCTGCAGACCTGGCAGTGTTCGCCCCAAGCCACTCCTATACTTCCACAGCATGCATTGCGCGTCAGCACTGCGGTCACGGAGTTTGGACCAGTCACTTTATTCTTACAGACGCCGCGTTCAGTCTGCGCAAAACAGGGTCCAAGTTCTTCTTCTAAAAAATTCCGGGAAACGTTTACCTCCCAGTGTAAACCCCGCCTTCTAACCGTTCAGCATTCGAAATTATCATATTTTTGCCCCATAACCTTGATACTCGAACCAGCTGAAGTCCATGGACACACAATATGGTGCTTTCCAGGCAGCGTACATGTAATGTGGTCAATCGAGCATGGTGTTTTCATCGACGCACATGTCGGCTTTTTTCAACGAGATAAATTTTGACGTTTGGGGACAACATCCCCTATATCTGGTTTCGTTTAGTCCCTGTAAATTGTTCCATACCACATAACTAAAAAATTAAATGAGTTTGCATATGTTTTTTTACGAATAAGTAAACTGTCTTCGTCTTAGCCTGCATTTAAGTGTTTAACAATTCTTGTAGAATGGGTCAGTTTGCAGTCAATATCCGCAAACTGAATCATAGCCGTTAAACATCTCTACACGTGACCGTTATATTATTAGTGATGTTAAGAAAAATTTAAACTAAATCGGAAAAAAGATTTATTTCACATCACTAAAGGGACGCATTTATGGTACATTACATTCCATTTTTAAAATCTCGTGTTTGGTAAGAATTGAGACAAATGCATCGCGATCATAAATACATAAAAATCAGAAGAGACAAGAAAGAGTAGGCGTGAGTTCCAGAAATTTACAGTTTCGAGGGTCACCAAGAAATTGTATTTAATTTCTTGTTACTGAATTTGTTGGGTTCTGTTTGGAGCATGTAAATAATAAATTCTAATGCATCGTGCACTTTCTGGCAAATTCCTACCTCAAGTTACTCATCCTAATCGTTCTTGAAAAAACTTTCTACTAATTTATGCAAAGGGAGATGACTTTACATGATGAATTTATAATTAGCTTTCACAATTTAAACTCTCTGTGAAATTAAAGCAAATGGTAAAAATCTTTTACAAATTTTGCTCGACCTTGAACCCCATCAAGGAATTTGCGTGTAACTTCATTAACTTTACAGCATTCTAACTTGCATGGGTAAAAATAGTTTTTAAACTCACCGTTGCATGCACTTCCCTTGAAGCCAAATTCACACACACACTTTCCATTTATGCAGCTGCCTTGATTGTTGCAGTTGGACGGACATCGAACTAAATTCCATGAATACAGAACATTAGCTATGCCTTCTCTTACATCGGTTAGCGACTACAGTGGTTAAGAGCGTATTTGGAAATTTGGATCTCAAAAGTCAGGAAATTGATTTGTACATTCAAGAATGACATTGCTTCGAGACTATTGATACCATTGTGACCATGTATTTTAGTTGACTTAAGCAAAATATGCAACGTTCATACTTTTGCGAATTACAGTGGGACATTTATGCCTCTCTACAAGGATGAAATACGAAACATTTTCAATTTATACCATGGAATATTCTGCCACGTCTTCCAAATCGCGTGGATAAGTACCTTCTACACCCTTTACGCAGACTTTTTCAGAAAATGAACGTAGCTGAAATGAGCAATTTGTTCAAGTACGGTGATTTGAAGACCTTGTTTAACTCATGTAATGCAACTCAAACAAGCCGCAGACTATGGAGTGGATTATCAAAGTGAGACGCATTTGTCTGCCTCACTTTACTTTTGCAGCGACTAACTACTTCTTATTTTAGCGCGGAAAAATACGTGCTAATGGGAACCACAAGCTTTATGTCGTAAGCTAGTGTTGAAAGGACTTGGCACTAGGACACCGTAGTGATAGAAACTACCACTGTTCCATTATGACGGAAATAACCTCACAGTTTATCCGAAAGTTTCGCTTAAAAGTAGAATTGCACTTTTTGGTAGAATAGGGTGGATGGTTGGTCAATTTCTCACTTTGACGCGTTAGCTAGAAACCAAGTAAATACACATATGTGTATGATTAACCTATGTCCATCAGACAGTCCAGAAAACAGGCAAAAATACACTTTTCTGCAGTTTATATTTTTAGCCCATCCCCAGCAACCGGGAGGGGTAACAAATGACAAGGAATTTCGCAATTGCAAACCTGAGTTAACATTTCGTGGAAGCAGTGATTCATCATTGTGCGGAATGCTTGAATTCTTTCGTCAGTAAATACAGGAAACGAAGGCTGCACGCAATTAGTTTTTGGAATTGTAATACCAACCAAAATAGTGAGATATTTGACCTAATTCCACAGTATTCTACTATATATCAAACTAATTTGATGGACTTTTTTTGCGAAACTTTAACTTACCAAATGTGTAAATGACACTTGGTAGTTATATCCAAAATTTTCACTAATGTTCTGCATTAAAAATCAGTTTTAATGACTGCGACCTTACTATTACGATCATCTTAAAAAAATCTTTCAAAAGCGGACGGATCTTACGTGCAAGCACACATGATTTTTTTAGAAATAGGGGTTATGAACCAGAACAAATTACGGGAATCATTATTTGTCCATGATTAAACTAAAGTGATTGGAGAATATCATCCATTTTTTTAAAATCCGGTATGTAATTGATCAGGTTGTTTTATGATGACTTGACCCTTTTAAAATGCAAAACGCACTCGAGAGCCACTCCGCAAAGGGAAAGGAAGGAGAGACGCATGTACACAACCCCCATGCACCTCGCCGCGTTCACATCTCTGGTGCATTACAAATCGGCTGATTTTTTAAAGTCAGAAAATCGGTCGTACTTAGGGCAGATCTTGCATATTGTAATGAAATGCATTTAATTAGTTGGATTTCTTATAACAACTTCTTGCACATCACGGGCATCTAAATTGCATTCAAGATTATATTCCACTACAGTGCATCCTCATTTCACATTCACACTGGATGGATTACAATCCAGACGACTGGATTTGCAAGCTCGGTAATTTAGCTAGATATTTTGCAAAATAATTGATGCGTCCTGTTTGTAAACAAAATTTATTCGTCACCCTTTAAGGTGTCACTTTACGTCGTATGTTGATTCTGCTTGCCAGGTGAATACTTTGTGTGCAAGTAGAGTTGTCAAATGCATAAATAGTTGAATAGGACAAGCAGACACCCTCGGTTTAAGCAAATATTTGATTGAAAATAATTAATATTCCCGTTAAATGAAGCTGCAAGAAGCATAACAGGAAACAATCTGTGCCATGGCAACTATTACAGCTAACATAGCCACAACTGCCTAAAAAATTGACATAACTGACAAAGTGGTTATTAAAAACTCAGCTGCATTTTGTCGGTTAAAACTTCCAACCATTTAGGGGAAAGCTAAGTCGGAAGTAATACCTCGATTATTGACAAATCCAAATTTTGTTTGTTTCACGATCTAATGCACTTTGTACCCATATTTTTAACATGCTAACGGCCAATTTAAAGTGACTATTTTTTTAAAATAAGAATTGAGTTTTGACAAATTGCTTGGTATCTTAGTGCTGCTTTCTTGAAATGTAGTGAATAGACAAAGTGGGTGGCCAATGTTACCGATGAAATACCGGGCTAATTTGATTAGGCACACAAGCGTGAAAACAGACGAATCAGGAATTCCGACTTGATGAATGTTGACACCCAAAACTGCTGCTGTAATAATTACAGGAAAGGCATACCTGCTGTTTTACCCAATAAACCAGGTCTGTTTGGTAATGTCAAATGGGAATTGGAATGTATGTGTTCTTTCAACAAGCCAGAAGGTTATTTTGGAAGAATTCTCCAGTGTAGGCGTCCTTACCATTACAATAAATTTAATCCCCTGTGCAAACTTAGAAACCTTCACATCATATAAGCTACAGCAAAATTGGTTTACCGCATGCATGTCAAAAGCTTCTTTAGTTGGTTTTGAAAACATACGAAGCATCTGCGTGTTCGTCGTGGTGCACGGTTGTGTATAGTTTGGAATTTTTCCCCATTACTAGTTACTATTTCGTAGTATTATAATTGTAGAAGTGTCAGTTATTTTTTAATAGATTTCTATCAGTCGACGTAAGTTGTCACCGAAACCTAATATTGCTCTGTGTTAATTATTTTGTTTGAAAATGTTTCAAACTATTTTAGTAGACAGAGAATTCTGGCCACCACATTATGCTGACAAATGAAATGCCATGTTTTATATCGGTAAAAAAACGATTCAGTCATTATTAGCCGCAATATAAAACTTATCATTGTCCTACGTAGTCAGAGTCATGCCTTAGCATAAAAACGTGAATACGCAACCGCAATAACTGTCTGAGTAGGTTTTTAATTCCTATTACATAAGAATCGAACTTTGTTTGATGTAGTACAATGTTTGATAGTTCTGTTAATGCAAACCACAGAATGCAATCACGTAGTATGAAAGGCTTAACTTTAATAACATCCTTGTAGATAATGTACCCAGTCTTCGTCCAGAGATTTTTATAATATACTGAGTTTCCAGGAAATTCATCTTTGTTAATATTAACTACAACTGACATAACACAGCATGTAACTAGCAGTAAGCACTCATTAATTAATGACAACAAACGGATAAACAGGAAACGCATTATGACTTCATTTCTCTCTGGATAGTATGCCATGCTCGATAGAAACTTCTGCAGTTAAAACCAAAGTCATTTCTCCTGAAAAGTGGTTCTCTTGTAGGAAAAAAGGCATTCAATGGATTCATGGCTGAGAAAGGCGTGATTCATAATTTAGGAACGCAACAAAACAAATCACTGAATTATAAATTACAACAATTGGTCAAGAACATTTCAAACTAATGTTAGCGGAGCAGTAAAACTAAAAAGACACGGTATTCACCGCCACCTAACAGTGGTGGAATGCTCTTCGAGTTTTGTTACCACACCACCCTCAACATCGTTGTGGCAATTTGTCTTGGTCATGCCCCATGAATCTAATTTGAAGTGCACAGCGCTCGCACCGCTTAAAATAATCTTCATGAATCTCTCGGCATCTGTCCTGGATCCCTCATGTATTCCTAGAAAATTGCAGTTTAATTGATGGTTGATATACTAATGTCGCTACACACGATAGCTGCATTATGGTAACAGATAGTGCAGCATTTTGCATTTGCAACTAAAAAACAAGCTGTCATCGTTTCAGAAAGAGCGTGCATGTGTCTGTGCAAAATTGAGTGGTGTGTGTTCCTTGCTGCCCATTTGAGGATTCCTCCAGGCCTACTCGGGAGAGACCCCTTAGCTATCTGGTGCAGAAAGCTTTGTCCTGTGATTTTACAGCTAGCAGGATTTGTGTCTGTGTCTGTACTACCCTTCCCACCTCCCCACCACCAACGAAGAGTTCTCCATGAAACGTTTACGAAACTATATTTATGACTGTGTTTCCGTCTTTTAAACCTGAATATAATTTTGGTAATAGCCGTCCTAAACTGCCTGAGACAAATACTTTGCCAACCATAACCCAGATTGGCTGTGGGCTAGATCAACAACGCACGTTGAAGTTTTTGAGTCACCGTACTTACCTTTAGAACTACCAATGTTATGGCTTCAATGTAAAAAGGTAGCAAAACAAATTAACATATCACGGGTTTCACTAGCAATTGTGAGTTTCTATTGTTGAAATGGCTGCTCATACGCTATGAACATTCCACAAGTCCTGTTTCATGCTAAAGCCCTCTTCATTACAACACTTTTTAGGTCAGTCATTTAGACATGCTTTTAGAGTTAAAGATGGTGTTAGTTCAGACTTCCACAGGACACAACTCGTACTACAGTGTGGCAGACTGTGTCTGTCCGCATAGCAGCCGGTTACGCACAAAGTCATTTCCTGTTATAAAAATGATCTTTTTTTCATTTGTTGTAGCTAAATGATAGTTAGCTTACCCGGTTCATCAGCCAAGTAGGTGAATTCGTCTTCCACAGTACAGTCTGGCCTGACTCTGCCGTCTTCGCATTTGCACTGGTTCGGAGCAACGCACCTACCACGCTCTCCACAATTTCCCGCGCAAATTGCTGGGAGAAGTAAATAAGTCATTAGAAAAGTGAAAGCGCCTTTTTTACAACTAAATTATCGATTGACGACCTAGCGGACCACCCAAAATGTTTCAGAGTATGTCAGCAATAACCCCAAATTAGATCGGTTTTTTGAAGAATAAGTTTGATAAAATGTGGAGACAATTAATATACGCCTAACTGTAACTAAAAATAACTTAACACTTAAAAGTTCATAAAATTTGGAAGGATTAAAAAGCATTTTTTTCTAGACCAAGCGAAATATAATCGCTACTTAGTCCGAGAATGTGTAGTCTTGCACTAATAGGCATCTTTCTACAATTTCTCGTCAAAATAGCAACAAATGGGCAAATTCGCATGTGTACAACTTTAAATTAAAACTATTAAGCAAGTGTTTTAGTTGACCCAATAATCCATTGCCTTAACGGTGTCAGAATTTACAAGCCTTATTTTTATGAAAAAAAGTATTTATGATGTTGAATGTAAGTGATTACCAAAGACCTCTACTTTTACAAAATTACCAGCAGCTCTGTATCAATGCTTTAGAGGCAGTCAAGTTATTTCAAAAATGTAAATAATGACTGGAACACCATGTGGTTCCATGTACGTTGCTTTTTATGGTGACATGCAAGAATGTAAGCATGTAACTCACCAGTGGTGCATAGGCCATCGAGACTTTTGGTCCAACCTTCGCAACATCGTGTCATCCCCCAGAAGTATCCACAAACGTTGGGCCCGCTAGGTTGACAAGCAATAACCAGGTCTTAAAAAAGGTCTTGCGGTTGAGGTAAAACGAAAAGCGTCCCGCAAGTACCATAAGGCTCTAAAAGCTCATACTCAGGAATTAAACGAAGCCTCACCTACGCCACACATTTACGTGGTTTAATTAGCGACTCGAACAAGTCTAAATAGGACTAATGGTTAGTTCTTATGGTCACGAAGTATACGATTACGTGAAGGTATCTCTCAAGGTATAAAAACCCGGAAGTCAGTCTGCCGTATTTTATGGCTTGACTCTAGTTCAAACAACTAAAATTACTACACCTAGTGGACAAGTCAAGTAGTTTGAAGCAGGGAACTAAGGTAGCTTGTAGTTTTGTCAAGCTAAAAAGTTGTTGATTCATAAAGGCTTCTAGCTAGTATTCAGCTATTGCACCTGAAAGGCTGAAATATTTATTACTTACTTAGTTTCAAATTAAAAGATACAGAATTAATGACATTGTGACATATTCAAAATCATCTCTATTTCGGTAATCACAGAAGCCTATCAACCCACCTACTGATCATGAATTTTGATGAGATCTTAGTGCGACAACATGACAGGTGTGATTTCACTTCAATCCTGTCAGATGATCCTTTCTGAGGATGATTTCACGCTCAATACAAAGTGATAGGTGTGTCCTCACTATTGAGCGCAGATGCCAAAGCTACTGAGTGGAGGCAAATTATCACCCACTGCTGTTGATTCTATCTGCATGCACTGATGTAACTTACAGCACCAAATATTGATTTATTCGTTCTACTTGAAGACCACTGCATCAGTAATTGCATTAAATTTGTAGGATGCCAAGATATTATACATGAGATCTTTTTTCAGGTAACCGTTCTACAGTTTTAATCACGAAGACACAAAACCGCATGTGTAAAAGGTATTTCAAGGATGTGTTTCATCGCTTGAGTGGCTCTGATATTTGTAACTAGACGATTTATGACGGGACTGCATAGACCAGACGGCATCAAGTTGAAATAAGTGCTAAACAGTCCTGTGTGCACGAATATGCGAGTTTCAGAAGAAGTTCCAGTTGTGTGACTGAAATAGACACGTCTATACGATCACCATCGTGTAAAATTGGCTTTTGCGAGACTTGAAAAGTAGGGAACTTTTTTCATTTATGCGAAAGTCTTTACAGGAAGTCGAGCCATAATTAAATTCTTATCAATTAGATAGAGAAATATGAAAAAATCCTTCAAGTCAAACTTGATCTAAAACAGTTGTCTGAATTTAGCGTAATAGTTGCAAAGGAGGTTCAGGCAAAGTTAGCGAAAAAAACGGGTACTAAGAGTAAAGTTCCTTTGTAGCAGAGGGACAAAACATTGTTTGTGAATGGAATCTGATGAATAAAATCCAAATTCTAAAATAACCAAAATTTGATTAGGGTTCCGGGTAGAGGGATTCCAAGGCCATTGGGAAACATGTTTTTCCGACAGTTTTGTTTTAAAATCAGGTAATTGGAACTGTAGTTTTATTGGAATGCGAGTAGGGATGAAAAACGTGGTACATAGAGTACAAATAATTTGTTCTATCGAAACCAGTTATTAAGATGGAATGTACGTTTACAAGTTTGCAATGAAATCGTAATTTAAGAAGGCAATGATTCTGGTCTTAGAGATACTAAAAACAAGCAGGACGGTAACTTGGGAAGTCTGGATGATGATCTGCTCGAAATTCGGCAAGGTAACTGGTAAGGTTATATAACATGTAAGAAATTTGTGTACCGTTTTCATTCCCAAGCGTTGAAGTGTCAGTTAATTGTATCTTCTGAGAAAAATAACCCTAACACGCACGATAAAATGGAATATAACTAAATTTTCCTCGAAGTGTCAGCACTGACTATGCATTAGACTGATTTCAACTGGATGTGCACCACCTCATGCCGAAAATTGAACAAAATGACTGAGCGTGCTTTTGCCTCTACCACAATTATGGTGAGCTGATCAGAAAAGCGCACTTATGGTCTGACTTACTTCAAATGAGGCGTGCTACAACTATAAGGTTTCTGATAATGCCCTGCATTTTATGCAAATACCGAAGGTAACCAGTTTTTGGTGTTGGTAACTCTAACACGTTAGATATTATAAATATTTAACCGTTGAAGTACCACTGACAACAAAGCCAGTCGGAGTAGTTTCCATATTCAGACTTCTCATTTATGGTTCACAGACATTCTCTTTGGACAAATTGTATATGCAAACAAACGAAGGGAACTTTATCTATTACAGCTAGCCAGGGAGCACTGGCTAGAATAAATAAGTGTGGACCTGTGATGGTACCAAATGGCTGCATAACATTTACCAGTGACTTAGTTCTCATCGCAGTTTGATGCATGTTCGTGTGAATGTACAATCCAAGTCAATACATGTAATTAGATTCGCATCCCGTCCACAGTGCTGGCATATCTCAAACAGTCAATGAATAACTTCTACAAGTGCACCTGATACGGCGCCAGGCTTATGCACGATGCAAGATTATACAGGCACAAGAACACCAAGTAACCACAACAAGGTGTAATAAATCATCTTTCTTCTGCCTCCTAATAGTCGCTTTAGTTCTTATCTTTTAAATGTTATAACCCCGAAAGAACGTTAATAATTACTTGTCTAAAGAGACTGTGATGCAGTTAAGCCACTACCGAATAAGACTGGAGAACAGATTTTCTCTGCGCTGACTTGAAGCAATTAGCTGCTATGATCAAAGCTGCGTTGACTCAGATGAAAAAGCACATCACTAAATAGATCGGGTATCGTTTTCATAATATATGCCTGCACCATTTGTAAATGCCATTGACTCCTGCTGTACACTGGTAAAATATTGTATTTGGTTTTTAACTTCGGGAAGTTTTCTTTTGCCATCCTAGATGTAATCGCATCATTTATTTGAAAAATTTATTTCCTTGGCACCCATGGCTATTTGACAACGGCGGTATGGAACCAAACCGTTATGGTATGCAGGCTTTTAAAAACCATATAATAATTTGTTATTTCATCCTTTATGTTGTTTGAGACAAGTGCTATCTTCAAAGCAATATTTCGGTACTGTTAAACTCTCCGAACCCGATTACAAAGGATGCGTGCCACGTTAGCGCCTGTATGCAGCACAGTGCTGGAGAATGCCACACGGCGCTTTGCATTCTAGTTTAAATGGACTGAAACATGAAACACCTCATCGTGTGAGACTCTTCAGTTACATTCAAGTGATGTTGGGTCTGAACTAATCCGCCAAATTAACTCAAACACTTATAATTTAACCAAACCCAAAAAATGCGTTAACATATACTGTAACTTCCAACTACAAATCCTTGTCCACATGGGCAAACGCGATATATTTGTTGACTGGGAATGATAGTAATGATGACAGTCGGATACAAGTATTTTCTTCTGTTCATCAAAGCTTGTTCTACCAGGCTTCTTCTGTACTGGCTTCTTCTCATGATTTCTTATAGGAAATCATGAGAAATAAAAAGAATGTGTGCGTTCGTTTGCATTTATCTCAAAGGGTATCCAAATATAGCAAAATACTATTTATATCAACGCAATCGGGAAAGTATTTCCGTTCAAAAACACTAATTCCCAGAATCAGTCAGACTGTTTCTCAAATAAATGGCAAGATAGTATCCGTCCGATTCATCCCAAAAAAAGTAAAATCAGGACGAGGAATCATTTGGGAACAGGAGATGGTAAAAAACAGGAAATCATGGAAAAGGATAGAAAAGTAGAACATCGCATAACTTGAATTAGTGTTTTACTTCTTAGCAGTCATGCAAAACAAGATTCAATGGAATAAACACACGTTAAAATAACAAAGAAGATCGTGACAAATGTGCCAAACAGTTGATTGGCATAATCTAGACTTAACCGCACAACGTTGAAATGAGACACAAGATAAAAGGATCGATCGAAGTTTAATTGACTTCGCTCACACCTGCATGTATGCGAGGCGCGGAGGCCAGAAACTTCTAGTACAAAATCAAACTCCGGCGTAGTCCTTGAATGCCGGAAAATGACATGACCCACAAACTATAACCAGAGACAGGAAGTAAGTCTTCGACACGCAGATGTTCTCTACAAATAATCGCTACAAAGTTTCAATCCGTAATGAAAGGGAATAAGGCAAATTTGATGGGTGTGCAAATTAATTAAGAGATTGCCCCCATAATGAGGAACATCAATTAAAATGATATTTGTCTAGCTGTCAAAAGCACCAGCCATTCGGAATCTCACCACATGATATAAATGTGGTGTGCATTGCCTTTTCTCTAGTTTTATAGTCTGCGTGCAAAAAATGCAAAAACATCTAATAATAGAATGTTTATTGGCCATATACTAGGAGATCGATCGAAGAAAAATCGAAATGGACCCTCTATTTCTTCTTCTTTTACCAGATAGAGTAAACAGAAATACTCCATTTAGTGAGATTTAGTTAAACCGTCAACCGTGGAATGCCGGTGAGACCTGAATTATTTCTGATGTTGAGATTTGCATGTTAGTTGTGCCTGTGAAAGTATGGAGGCAGATTTATGGCATGCCAAATCACGCCGGTGCAATGGGAAAGCATTTCTGACTGGGGGACCCGAGAATTACCGAAGACTACGCTAAGCGATGCGGATACTTTGCACGGCAATTCAGACCATGGTGCATGACCCAGTCAAATAGGAACAATAACTTCGAAAACCAATGAGCCACTGTTGGTTGACAATGACGACAGTGGCCTATTTGTGTTATTACACCACCAGCCTAACAATCTCTTCGAAAATCATTCTGGTGTCTTATTGACACATTCGCCATCCCTGACGAGAAATGCTCATTCGTTAGTGGTAGAATGTTTTAACTAAGTGTTTTATTTACTCTAAACGATTAATCTAAGCTAGTGTACTGGCGCGTCTTTATTTCTAC